GCGGGTGAGTTCCCGGGGCGGAGAAGTGGGCGCTGTGGCGAGACGGTCCGGGAAGAACACGCCGTGAGCGGTGCATGTGTCATCTCAGCCAACTGGTCTCAGAATCCAGGCCCAGAGGCATCCGCGTTCGCGGCCGCAGGACCTGTCAGCCCCGAGGTTGAAACCAGGAGAGACCGCGTAGGAAGGTGACTCCGTTTTGAAAGCGTGCAGGACATTTGACTCTGGTGTGTAAGTGAAGGACTTCCCCTGCCACTAATGTTAATAAGGGAAGGTTACGTTATTCAAACAAGGTCACACCGCAAACACGTGGCAGGGTTGCGTCGGAGGCTGGCTCTTACCGTTACACCCTGCTGCACTCTCTCCCCCGGGTTTAACCCTCATTTCCTCTGCTTGGCAGGTAACCAGATCCTCTCTAAGCCAGTTTCCTCATAGGAGTTAAAGGAGATAATGCAAGCAAAGTGTTTCGCATGGGGCCTGGCGTTAATAATAAATAAATTATTGCCTTCTATCACTGTTCCTATACCACCAAGTTTTATTTCATTGGTGTAGTCAATATTCTCTTAATTTGGAAGAAATGTGAAATTTCAAAATTAAAAAAATACATGTACTGCCCGGCCTGTGTGGCTCAATGGTTGAATGTTGACCTATGAACCAGGAGGTCACAGTTCAATTCCTGGTCAGAGCACATGCCTGGGTTGCTGGCTCGATCCCCAGTGTGGGGCGTGCAGGAGGCAGCCGATCAATGATTTTTTCTCATTGATGTTTCTATCTCCTTTCTTCCTCTCTGAAATCAATAAAAAGTATATATATATATATAGTTTAAAATGTACTATGTGCTATAATGAAGTACTATATCGAGGAGGGAACAGCTCTGTATTGAGCAAGAACTGGAAGCTACTGTAGCTTTCTTTTAAAGAATAATAAAGTACAGATTGTTAATCCTGTATCATCTTACACTTTAGAAAAGAAAATGTCCTGGGCTGATTTCACAACAAAGATAAGTCCGTTTCCTTAATTCAGTGGTTCTCAACCTTCCTAATGCCGCAACCCTTTAATACAGTTCCTCATGTTGTGGTGACCCCCAATTTCATTGTTACAAATTGAACATAATTAAAGCATAGTGATTAATCACAAAAACACTATGTAATTATATATGTGTTTTCCGATGGTCTTAGGCAACCCCTGTGAAAGGGTCGCGACCCACAGGTTGAGAACCGCTGCCTTAATTATATATTGGTGCCTTGTAATCTGTGTTGAAAATATTTAACAGTATTTACAGGCTTTTTTTTTTTAATCCTCACCTGAGGATATTTTTCCATTGCTTTTTAGAGTCGGGGAGAAAGGGAAAGAGAGAAAAATATCTATGTGAGGGAAACACATCGATTGGTTGCCTCCTGCACTCGCCCTGACCAGGGCCCGGGCCGGAGAGAAGCCTGCAACCAAGATACATGCCCTTGGCCAGAATCGAACCTGGGACCCTTCGGGTCTGCAAGCCAATGCTCTATCCACTGAGCCAAACCGGCTAGGGCTACAGGCTTTATAAGTCATGCTTCTTTCTGGCCAGTAACTTAATCTTAAAAGAAGACACATTTTTAAAGTAATAATTTTACTCAGCAAGTCGCACTTGAAAATATATAACCAAAGGTCAAACAAAACTTTTCCTCTATTCCAGACAACAAAAGTTAATGATGATCCCTAACATTCATCCTTCATATGCAGTCTATTCTCTGAATTTACAAGTGCCTTTACTTCAAGTACTGTATGTCTTAGTTCTCTCCTCCTTGAACTGAAACTTTTATTATTTTTACTTCTCACAACATCTGGGATCCTAAACTCAGCATGCCCCAAACTAAAATTAATAGTTTCATTCCCACTCTTTGCCTCCTGACACACACAAGAACACTAACAAAACCTCCTCTTTCTTTTCTCTCTACCCACTGCAATCTTCAGAGTCACAACTCTGGAATCATCCAAGACTCTCTACTTTCTCCAACCCCTCTCTCCCTTGGTCCCAGTATCCTAAATATCTCTTAAACTTTTTTTCACTCCTCTCTACCTAGTTTAGCTTCTAACCATTATCTCACCTGGACCTTTTCAACAGTCTTTTAACTAGTCCCTCTACCATTACTTCTCACCTTGCAATTCATCTGTTACACCAGAGGGAGTTTTCTAAAACCTAAATTTGTTACAGAACCCAAGTTCATGTGCCCGCTTCAGAAGGCCAAAACTAAAAATGTCGGAGTTTGGAGTAAGGAAAGGTTTATTGATCAAGAAAGCACCAACTGAGAAGATAAGAGACTTAATGGTGCCTCACATCCATCTTATTCATTGAATTAGGTTAAGGGTTTTGTCAACCAATGGTTGTGTGGCATGGCACCATTCAAAGCCAACAGGAATTCCTGAACTGGGAAACGATTGTGTGAAACAGCTCAATTGTGATAGAGCACAGCTGTGAGGCAGCCCTGGGGCTAGGCCCCCCTCTGGCTGGATAGCTCTACTCTGCTCCTGTCTGGTCTGCTCCACTCTGTGCCAGGGAGACATCTTTGCTGTTTCAGCTCAACCAGGAACAGCAGTCTTGGGTGGAAAGGGAAAGTGGGCTCCCAGAGCCAGAGGGGATCTAACATGTATAGACAGAAATCCCTGCAGGATGGTTCTCATACAAATGAGGACTCCAAATCCTTGAAGTTTGATTGATCCAAAAGGCACTGTCCTGACTGGTCAGAATGGAGCCACTTTGATTGGTCAGTGAAGATGTTGATGGGAATATAGCTATATGGCTCCTACTGGATGGGGAAAGCGTCAGTCCTATGGGTTGAAATAGGATTCCAGGAACTCCTTTATAAGGGCTGGTTCAGATGGCAGAAGCCAGTGCAGGCAGTTCAGTGCAAGCACACTCTCACCTCCACCTGCACCACCCCACACTTTAGGAGGAAAGAGGGGGAGCTAATGGGCTGCTACTCAGAAAAGCCAAGGACTCAGAAGTCTTCTGGACTTGATTGGGCTCTGACATAAGGGAATGCATGACTGTGCACCTGCCTAGATAGAATCAGTGATCTCAAGACTATCTTGCATATGAATGAACAGGAACCAATCAATTACTTCTTAAGACCACTTTGAAATCTTACTAAAAGCAGTTCATTTTCCTGTGTCATTTCCACCTTCCTCTCCCATACTATGTGGCTAGGAAGCCCAACCTTTGACCTCTGTTATTCAAAATACATACATGTGATTGATTCTACCTGCTTCATTTTTGCAAGTCCAATAAACTGACTCAAACTACATTTTTAAATCACAGCAGACTTTTTTCTCTTTTTCTGGCACCAATCCAATCAGGTAATCTATTTTTCCCCCAATACTCCTAGGATACTTGGCCTGTGTTACCACACCTTTGGTAAAATTTCTAAAATCAAAGCTGCTAATAGAATATTTCTTTATATCAATGAGACTCTTTGAAGAGATGTGTCATATTTTTTTTCTCAGCCTTCAGAGAAGGAAAGCAGTGGGAGTCTTATTCAAACTGCTTATAGATAAAACCAGTAATTCTTTCCATATAACCTCAAGCATACATCTTTACACCATTGGCCATAGACTGGCCCCAAGTCCCATCGCCAGACCTTTGCCTCTCAGTCTTGCTTGTCTTCTAGAAAAGAGATCCCTCTCTTCTGTCCCACATCACCTCCACTGGAAACCATGAGCTCACGTGCTTGTCTTCCTTAGTGAGTGTGGTACCACCTGTCTGATGGGAATCTTGCTGTTCAGGGAACTGCTGGGGTGCCATTCCCATTTCCCACCATGAGTTCCCCTCTGGCTGGGAGTGCTCCAGAGGTGTGCTCCTTAGGTGGAAGCCGGGCGGGGGTTGCTGGGGAGAAGCTTATATGTGGTTACTAGATGCTGAAACCCAAGGGAGCAAAGAAGCTGTACTTAGAAAACAGTGCCACCCAAATCCACGGTGGACTCCCAGCCTAGAGCAAGGCTACTTGGACAGGACAGGCAATTTTCTACCATTAACCCATTTGTTATATTTCTTAATTTATATAAGCCCTTAATTTCTTTAAGTCAAATAAGCAGAGCTCCTTTTATCCAGTTCTGAAGAATGCACTCCCGGGGGGCTGCGTTTGGGTATCGAGTTTGAGTTTTTCCCATAGCCGACACACACATTTACATATAAGACAAAAGGCAAATAAAAATATACCCACAAAGAATAAAATTCAACTCCTGCAGGACAACCAGACCAGAGAGTCTCACCAGAGGATGTGTTGGATTGCTCAGCAGACATTCCTCAACCCCAGAGTTAGACAGCCCAACCAGAGACTGTCACCTAAGGGCGTCTTGGATTGCTAGCAGGCGTTTCTCAACCCGCCAACCAGCAGACCACTGGTGGTCCATGAGGTCCAAAAGGTTGGCAACCGCTGCTCTAGACTCTAGTAGAGTCTAGAGGTAAACAGCCAGACCAGGGATCATCACCTGAGGATGGTTTAGATTGTCCCACGGGTGTTTCTCAAACCTCGAGAATTAAACATACGCTGTGCCCTGAATCTAACGTCCTGGAGGCTGTTCCTGCTTAACCAACCACAAGCTCAGTGCACACCAGGACTGAAATGACCTTTCCTACAACCCTTTGCCCAAAATAGAAATACTAATTAAAGCAACCACAGGGGCTGACCTACCCACCTCCCTGTCGAAGCACTGAATGAAACAAGTTCAGTAGGCCATTTCACTTCACTGTCAAGGCAGGCTAGGCAGCCATTCCAGTGGTCAGCACCCAGTTGGAGTACCTTATAAAATAGATCCTCCATCCAGTTGAGACACAGGTGAATAAACCTTAGACAAGCTGCCACTGCCAACTGCTTCACCAGTGTCTATACCAGGCCAAGAGGGAGTTCTTTTAAGAAAGTCCCATCTGGTCTGGCTGGTGTGGCTCAGTGGTTGCGTGTCGACCTGTGAACCAGGAGATCATGGTTCAATTCCTGGTCTCCTGACTGGGTTTCTTAGGGCTTGATCCCCAGTAGGGGCATGCAGGAGGCAGCTGATCAATGATTCTCTCTCATCATTGATGTTTCTATCTCTCTCCCTCTCCCTTCTCTGAAATCAATAAAAATATATTTGCAAAAGTATCTCTAATGACTGTAAGTGACAAAAAGAACTGCAAAAGGCATGGTTATAGATCTGATTATATGCAATTGATAAAGAAATTTGCTCTTCTCTGTAACATAATATTTTAAGATACCAAATAGAACCCCTCCTGGAACCCCCAATCTGAGATGAATACCTCTTCCCTGTGCTCTGGCTTCCTGTGCATACCCCACTGGTAGCACTTTTTACATGGAAAAAACTGTCTATCCTTCATTTATCTTTATTTCCAGTACCTGGCTCACCTGTGCTTGATTAAAGTTTGAAAAAAAGGGGGCGGGGGAGGATCCACAGACCTGGGCTTGATGCTGCCTCTTCCAGTAGCTAGTTGGGTGACATTGAGCAAATCATTTACTTTATCACAATCCCCATTTTTCCCAGGGAGGTTGGACCACATAATCCTTGAAATTTGCTTCCATTCTGAAATGAATGCTTCTGTGAAGAGGAAAAGCAGCAAAATAGTCTTAAAAATAGGCGAATGTGTTATGGCATAGAATGCACCTCCCATTACTCTTCCTTTTCTTCTCTTTAGAGGTTGCTTTCTTCTGAGAAGGTCTCTGATAAGGACCATTCTCTCCCCAAACCCTGCTGGAGCAAGGACATGAGGCTCCTCTTTGACCAGTTCATGAAGAAATGTGAAGATGGCTCCTGGATACATTTGCCTTCATATGAGTATATAGCAACTCAAAGGAGTCAAGACTTCCCAACCTTTATTCATGGTAGGAACAGCAAGCAATTCTCCCATAAAGAATATTTAAATATTGTCCTGGCTGGTGTTGCTCAGTTGCTTAAGCATCCTCCCATGCACCAAAAGGTCATCGGTTTGATTCCTGGGCTGTGCAGGTGCAGGCAGCTGATCAATGATTTTCTCTCACATAAGTATTTCTCAATATATATCTTCCCCCCCTCCCCGGCCCCGCCTCTCTTTTCCTCCCTCTCTAAAATCAATAAAAACATATTTTTAAAAAGAATATTTAAATATCAAATATAAAACTAAGAAGAGATTGAAGCACTAGTTACCACTTGGAAAGGGGAGGAGTGTAATGCAGGGGTTTCTATAGTCTCCAGTTTTATAGACCAGAAACCTCAATGAATTTTGCAGTTTGTGGGAAGGCATAAAGCCTTTTGCCAAGAATAAGACTGCCTCCCACTGGCATCCTCGTCAACATTAGCAGGAGTGAACAAAAGACCCCAGAGAGCCTCCACCCTCCCACAGCCTCAGCACTTCTCTGTGATGGCATCTTTCTCATACGTGTTTCTCCTGTGCCCATCCAGCTTATTTCCCTACAGCCTCCGAGCTCATAAACAAAGAAAAACTGTCACAGGGCCGGCTCTTCACCAGAAGCTTTGAGGATGGCCTGGGCTTTGAATATGTGATGTTCTATAATGATGCTGAGAAAAGGATAGTTTGTGTGTTTCAAGGAGGTCCTCACCTGCAAGGAATGCCTGGGTAAGAGTGCCAGCCTAGAAATGTGGGTCTAAAGGAGTGTTACTTTACACTGTCCCTGTGTGTTCAGGGACTAGAATGAAGGCATTAAAATGGTGATGTAGAGACATTTGTTGACATGGAAAGATGTTTATAATAAATCACAAAAGCATAGGAGACATAAGGCAACAGAGTATAATTTGAGAGAGTATCATTGGCATGTTAACAGTGGCTTTGTCACTAGAGGGCCTCATAATTTTTTATTTATTTTTCATTTGTTTACCTACATTTCCTAAATTTTTACACAATGATGTGTATAGTTAGTTAAATGCAAACATCAATTTTCTAAATGATATTTTAACGTTTTGCTTGCTTGTGATCTGATTACCTGGTTTATTATAAGTACTACACCATTATGGTATGAACACAATAAAGTTGGGGACATGGATATTTGACGTTCAGTACACTGAGCATGGACAAAGTGGACCTTTCTTAAGCAAATTATGTGGAGATGCTTGGTTAATCTCCCCGCCTTCAACCCCCCCGGCTAAGGGACTCTCTTTTCAGACTTTTTTGAAACACTTCTCTTTTCCTCTTATTATAACTAGATTTTTTCACGGAGGTGCCATTGCAACCATGATTGATGCTACTGTTGGTATGAATGCGATTGTATCTGGGGGAATTGTCATGACTGCCAATCTCAGGGGGCGGGGGAGGATCCACAGACCTGGGCTTGATGCTGCCTCTTCCAGTAGCTAGTTGGGTGACATTGAGCAAATCATTTACTTTATCACAATCCCCATTTTTCCCAGGGAGGTTGGACCACATAATCCTTGAAATTTGCTTCCATTCTGAAATGAATGCTTCTGTGAAGAGGAAAAGCAGCAAAATAGTCTTAAAAATAGGCGAATGTGTTATGGCATAGAATGCACCTCCCATTACTCTTCCTTTTCTTCTCTTTAGAGGTTGCTTTCTTCTGAGAAGGTCTCTGATAAGGACCATTCTCTCCCCAAACCCTGCTGGAGCAAGGACATGAGGCTCCTCTTTGACCAGTTCATGAAGAAATGTGAAGATGGCTCCTGGATACATTTGCCTTCATATGAGTATATAGCAACTCAAAGGAGTCAAGACTTCCCAACCTTTATTCATGGTAGGAACAGCAAGCAATTCTCCCATAAAGAATATTTAAATATTGTCCTGGCTGGTGTTGCTCAGTTGCTTAAGCATCCTCCCATGCACCAAAAGGTCATCGGTTTGATTCCTGGGCTGTGCAGGTGCAGGCAGCTGATCAATGATTTTCTCTCACATAAGTATTTCTCAATATATATCTTCCCCCCCTCCCCGGCCCCGCCTCTCTTTTCCTCCCTCTCTAAAATCAATAAAAACATATTTTTAAAAAGAATATTTAAATATCAAATATAAAACTAAGAAGAGATTGAAGCACTAGTTACCACTTGGAAAGGGGAGGAGTGTAATGCAGGGGTTTCTATAGTCTCCAGTTTTATAGACCAGAAACCTCAATGAATTTTGCAGTTTGTGGGAAGGCATAAAGCCTTTTGCCAAGAATAAGACTGCCTCCCACTGGCATCCTCGTCACCATTAGCGGGAGTGAACAAAAGACCCCAGAGAGCCTCCCCCCTCCCACAGCCTCAGCACTTCTCTGTGATGGCATCTTTCTCATACGTGTTTCTCATGTGCCCATCCAGCTTATTTCCCTACAGCCTCCGAGCTCATAAACAAAGAAAAACTGTCACAGGGCCGGCTCTTCACCAGAAGCTTTGAGGATGGCCTGGGCTTTGAATATGTGATGTTCTATAATGATGCTGAGAAAAGGATAGTTTGTGTGTTTCAAGGAGGTCCTCACCTGCAAGGAATGCCTGGGTAAGAGTGCCAGCCTAGAAATGTGGGTCTAAAGGAGTGTTATTTTACACTGTCCCTGTGTGTTCAGGGACTAGAATGAAGGCATTAAAATGGTGATGTAGAGACATTTGTTGACATGGAAAGATGTTTATAATAAATCACAAAAGCATAGGAGACATAAGGCAACAGAGTATAATTTGAGAGAGTATCATTGGCATGTTAACAGTGGCTTTGTCACTAGAGGGCCTCATAATTTTTTATTTATTTTTCATTTGTTTACCTACATTTCCTAAATTTTTACACAATGATGTGTATAGTTAGTTAAATGCAAACATCAATTTTCTAAATGATATTTTAACGTTTTGCTTGCTTGTGATCTGATTACCTGGTTTATTATAAGTACTACACCATTATGGTATGAACACAATAAAGTTGGGGACATGGATATTTGACGTTCAGTACACTGAGCATGGACAAAGTGGACCTTTCTTAAGCAAATTATGTGGAGATGCTTGGTTAATCTCCCCGCCTTCAACCCCCCCGGCTAAGGGACTCTCTTTTCAGACTTTTTTGAAACACTTCTCTTTTCCTCTTATTATAACTAGATTTTTTCACGGAGGTGCCATTGCAACCATGATTGATGCTACTGTTGGTATGAATGCGATTGTATCTGGGGGAATTGTCATGACTGCCAATCTCAACATCAATTTTAAAAGGTAAATTCACGTGTATTCTCTACTACTTAGGTGTCATAGGTCAGGTTTACCAGCAACAGAGTCTGAGACAAAGATGTACGTGCAAATAATTATTAAGGCGGTGCTCCCAGAAGAAAGCTAGCAAGGCAGTGGGAGACACAGGACAGGGGAGGGGAAGAAGCCAACCAAGGTTGAGCTCACAGTCCCAAAAAGGGGAGCAGCAGCCTGATCACACATGGAACTTTGGAGTGAAACATGTGCCTCAGAATTGCCCCTACCTCAGGCAAGGGAACTAGAGACTTCACATCTCACACGTCAATCATAGGCTAAGTCATAGGGAAATCCTACCTTGGGGACCATAAATTCCCAGGCATGTCTCATCGTGAGCAGTAAATGAATCAATCCATGTAAACTAGGAGAGTATCTGGCCACATAACAAGTACTCAGTAAATGTTAGCGGCTTATTATTATTATTTTTAACGTTGTTATCATTACTTTTACTTCTAGCAACAAGGCACATCTGTGACAGGGCAAGGAATAGCTACTAAGATCCCTGATTCCTATTCATGGAGAATAGTGCTAAAGATCAGAAAAATATTAGACTGTTCCACCTGTGCCATGTTGAGCGGGATGACCTCACTGCTATAGATCGCTTTGGGTACTGTGGACCTCTTCAAATTATGAAGTCTTTCAACCCATAAACATGGGATATCTTTCCATTTATTTGTATTTTTAATTTCTTTCAGCATTGTTTTGCAATTTTCAGTGTACAAGTTTTTGGCCTCCTTGGTTAAGTTGATTCCTAAGTATGTTAGTTTTGATGCTATTATAAATGAAATCGATTTTTTAAATTCCCTTTTCAGATTGTTCATTGTTAATGTATAGAAATGCAGCTCATTTTTTTGTGTTGATTTTATATCCTGCAACTTTGCTGAATTCATTTATTAGTTCTAACAGTTTTTTGTGGAATCTTTGGGGTTTTCTACATACTAGATCATGTCATCTGTGAACAGAGATAATGTACTTCTTCCTTTTCAATTTGGATTCCTTTTTTCCTTGCCTTAATTGCTCTGGCTGGGACTTACAGTACAATGTTGAATAGAAATAGCAAAAGTGGGCATACTTCTCTTTTTCCTCATCTTAGAGGAAAAGCATTCAGTGTTTCACCATTGAGTGTGGTGATGTTAGCTGTGGGCTTTTCATATATGGCCTTTAGTATGTTAATTTAATTCCTCATGCTTAGCACATTAAGATAAGCTTATTAAGATAAGTAGACAAAGCAGCTAATGATTAGTGGTGGCTAGCAGCCGCAAGATCAATATCTCAGCATTTCTATAACCCATCCATGGCATATTGGTTGGGAAGCTCTGGATTAGGCTTTTTCATGCAACATGGCAGACAAGAAATTTCGAAGGACATTTCCCTTTCCTAACAATTAGATCCTGTGTCAAATTCACAAGGAAACAAACCACCATAAGTGAGAATCAGCAAGAAACAATGAGTAACATATTTAGATCCTCAGGGACTTAAGGTATGATAATCAGATACACAATATAACAGAACTGTGTATGAGGTGTTTAAAGAAATAAAAGATGAAATCACAAAAAGAGAACGCAACAAGAAATTATAAAATTATTAAGCAGATTTGCCACAGAAATTAAAATTTTTAGAAATGAAAATGTAATTGTTTAAAAACAAGCACCCCCTCAGTTGATAGGTTAAAGGGCTATTTAAACACATCTGAAAGTGAACAGAAATATAGAACTGAAGAAACTACCCTGAATCCAGCACAAAGAAAAAAAAAGAGATGGAATATATAAAATAGAGGTTAAGCTATAGAGGACAGATGAAAATTTATAATGTGATCTATTCAGAGTCCTTGAAGAAGAGCGGAGAGAATGGAAGGGATCCAGTATTTGGAGAGAGAATGGATGAACATATTCTCAAACTAAAGAAAATCATGAGCCCACAGACACAGAAAGCACAACATATATCAAGCAAAATGAATAAAAATAAATTCATATCTAGATATATTACAGAGAAATTAAAGAAGATGAATGCAAGGAAATCTTTAAAAACAAGAGATACACGGATATCCATAACAGAGCAGTCTTGTTTCTTAGAAGCCAGACGGCACCATTGCACTGGCAGTAAGCTCATCAGAAGCAATAGCGGAAGTCAGAACACCAGGCTCTTTAAGGAATGTTTATCTAGGATGGTCACACCACTGACATCAGGTGTCATACACTTAATCATCTCTGAATGTTACAAAAATCTGATAAAAACGGATTTTTCCCCCTTTTTTCTTTTTTCTACAGACCTATCCCCCTTTGTTCTATTGTTTTGATAAATAGCCAACTTGATAAAATTGAAGGAAGGAAACTGCTTGTGTCCTGTAATGTTCAAAGCGTTGATGAGAAGATCCTATACACAGAGGCAACAAGTAAGGAGCTGCCACTCCCTTTTTTGGTTTAGTTTAGTTTGGTTTGGGTATTTTTCCTTTGGGGGGTTTGTTTGAGTGAGGGTTTTTTTCTGGGTCTATTTTTGTTGTTGTTTTATTGATTGTTGGTTTTGTTTTGTTTTTTTGCTTTGGTTTTATAAGCCATACATGCCCAGAAAATTTTAATTTCCTATCATTCAAAGAATAAGTTAAAGGTATTCCATACACATGCCAGTAGGGAGCTATTTGCCAACATTTATCAAAATTACAGCATCATATATATACCCTTTGACCCATTTCCAGGACTTAATCCCACAAGTGTACTAACTTGTGCAAAATTACAATGTATGCGGTTGCTCTAGGGTCCCAGTAATTGTGTTGTTTATGCAGCGTCATTTGGAATAGCACAAGATTTGGCAAAACACAGATATCCAAAGATAGGGACTGATTAAAAAGATAACAGGTCATCCATAAACTGTATTGTGTGTGCCATAAAAAAGTACTGTGGGCCCTGGCTGGGTGGCTCAGTTGGATGGAGTGTCCTCCCAAGCACCAGAAGGTTTTCTTATTTTACATGAGAAAAGAAATCGCAACATATTACTAGTGTCTTGGAGATGCAGGTCTCTTCCTTCTGGGATCTCTATAGCAGTTTGTTAGAAATGCTCCCCAACCGCATCGTGGAGCACAGCGCAACTCCCCGCTCTCACCTTTGCAGATGGGGGACCCTTGAAGCCTCACTTTTATTCACTTCAGATTTAGACAAA